TATAGCTGGGTCTTGAGTTAGAGCTGTTCTCAATTTTCTGAGAAACTGCCAGATTGATTTCTACAGTGGGTGTACAAGTTTGCACTCCCACCAGAAATGAAGGAGTATTCCCTTTGAGTATTTGATCTTAGCCATTCTGATGGGTGTAAGCTAGAGTCTCAGAGTCCTTTTGATTTGCATTTCCCTGAAGACTAAGGACACTGAACTTAAGTGCTTCTCAGCCTTAAGAGATTTTTGAGAAATGATTTCATGTAACCTAAGATGGCTTGAACAGATGATTCACCTTCCTCCACCCATGTGCTGAAATTTCAGGCACGCACTACTACACCCAGCTGAAGTTGCTGTTTTAAACTGTTAGGAGATACATGGAGGAAATTATAATCTGTTTTAACGTGAGAAAGAGTGTTCTAAATATATATTACAACACTCAGCTGTGTGGTAGGCAGTTGAGTAGGGTGTTCATATCATAGATAGTAACAAACCTTGTTTTGTTAGTCTGCACATGGATATTCAGTTTTTCCTACCTTAATCTCTTTGAGAAGACAAGATGTGCATTGACAAACATTTGCTTCAGTATGTGAATTAAAGTTCACCTCAACACCAAGTAATGGGAGAGCTCCGACAACACAGAAAAATGTTGTAAGAGTTCAGAGGTGGCTGCCAAGATGACTTAGAGGATAAAAGCATTTGAGGCAGTTGAGAACCTGGCAGCCTGAGTTCAATCCCCAGAGCCTGAAGGCAGCTGGGGAGAACCAACTCTGCAAAGTTGTCCTCTGACTCTGTAGGGACGTCAAGGCATGTACGCCGTAGACATTTCATTAAACGTACACATCCATTAAAATGAAAAGTAATGTATATGTAACTTATGTAAAAGTAATGTAAAGTAAAGTATATGAGGAGACGGGATGTGGACAAGTCAGGCCAAGGACATTCCAGGGTGAATGGGCTCAAACCATCCATGCAGAGTGGTGTGCTCTGGGCCCCCTGGATGGAGACTGCTGTGATGTTGTTGACGGGAGCTTGTTAAGCGAGCTGTAGAAGTTAACTCAGCACATTATTGTATGTTGGTTGAAAAAGGCTAGCGCTCCCAAGATTTTAATCACGTTATTATCTTATGATTTTTTTTGTGTGTGTGTTATTTATGCACTGGTCATTATTTATTACTGAAAAATGTTTGTTAGAGTTTGTGTGTGTGCCTGTTGCATATGAGCACGGGTGTGGTGGTTGCCGTATACACCCGGGCAGCCTCAAATCTTCTGAGGGGTCTTCTGTTTCCACTCTGCCTGTTGTCACAGGAGTGGGAGTTTACAGGTCCATGTTATAGCATCTGACTTTACTCAAGTCCTTATGCTACCATGTGTCGATCTTCACTCACTGAGTCATCCCCCGAAGTCCTTAGTATTTTTCTTACTTGATACATAGCATTCACGTATCCTAAACTCCACTGTTTGGTAAAGACATCAAAGTTGTTTTTTTTTTTTTTTTTAACTAATAGACATGACAATTACTTTGTAACTTTATTAGTAAATATTTAGCTGAACATCTTGAAATATCAACTTGATTATTCCTCATGGATCATGGAATGGACTGAAGGTTTCTGTTCCTTGAATTCTAAAGGAGAATCTTAACAGCCAGGTTATTGTAGGGCAGAGCGTGGGTTTATGCTGAGGGTGAAAGTGAAGTTCTCATAAATGGGACTGATGCCTTTATAATCGAGAACTCAATGAGTTCCCAGGTCCCTTCCATCAGACAAGTACACAGCAAGGCAATGGTGGTCCGTAAAATCAGTGAATGGAGTCTCTCAAAAACCAAGATCTTCTGCCATACTGATATCAGACTTCCCATCCTCCAGAACCATCAGAGGCAGATTTCTATTGATTATAAACTCCTTAGTATTTTCTTATAGCAACCTGAATGGAGTAAAAGAACTTACGTGAGGAACTGAAGCTTGAAATCACAGAGAAACACTGACTGTTTTGAAGTCTGAGTGGCAGAGTAGGAGCTGTATTTTGGAAGGAAATTTTCCGGTGATATGTGCAGAATGGGCAAGAGTGTCCAGAGTAAGAAGCAGCAGACTGACAGTTAACTTAGCATGACGAATTAGGAAGAGAGGTTTAAAAGAGGCCTTATGACTCAGACGTAGGACGGCAGGTGACTAAATCAATAGCGATAATGAGGGTGTTACTCAAATACATATATAATAACTTTAAACTAGATAGTTTGCTGATACTACATAGTTTAACATCCTGAAGGTGGACTTTGGGGTCATGAAATAGAAGAGGACTTTACTAAAGTCGGGAGATTTTTATAACGATTAAGACATTCCTTGATACTGAAGTCCTGGCCCCTTAGTGTAACTTCTTCAGAATTAGTCATTTTCCAGAGATCCCTAGATATTCAATCCAAGGGTATTTGTCATCAATGACTGTGCCAAAATCTAACATTTATGTGGTACCCAGATAAACTTCCAATATTTCAGGCAGTGATGTAGATGTTTTAAGAGAAACACCAGCCATTGTTCTGGCTAATATCTTCCAATGATGCAAAACTTGTGTCTGTTCCTCACTTTCATAAATGTGTGAGCCCAACATTGCTGTGTATCTGTGAACCCAAGGTAACCGCTGTTTTTGTTTTTGTAATTTTGTAAATTCAACACTGGAGCTTCTCATATGTAAAAGCAGTTTAAACTGAGTTACTCTGTAATGAGGAAAATGCCTTTCCTAGACGCCGTAGATTATCCAATGAAAGCCCAGTGCCAAGTATGGATTACCTCTTTGTGAGTTGTTGTTCAGTGGGTATGGCTCTTGGTTGCCATCTACAACTTGATGACAAGACCCTCATTGCTGCAGAGAGCTCATACTTAAGTCATCGGACATGGAGAAATTAGGCTGGTACTAACCTAGTAGTTTTGTTCCTACTAGTTAGCTTTCCGAGTGACAAAAGGTTCTACTAATGTTACAGGGAGAGAAAGAGTGTTTAACCACCTTACTCAGCTGTGAAATCTGTGAACTATAGCAGGAATTGGCATGGCAAGATATGTCATTGGGTAAAACAATGGCATAAATGTATGGGACCAACCAAATATGTTCTGGTTGGATTTAAAGCCTGCTTCGTAAGACAGAACTCATGTCTGGTATTGTTAACTGGGCTAAAATTTCATGGCTGATGTATTAGTAACAAATTGTTGGAATAGAACACCTTGACCAATGCAATTTATAAAAATAAGACAGGTTTATTTAGCTTGTGGTACCAGAGGGATTAAGGGTTTCCCCATGGCAGAGAAGCATGGCAGGAAGCAGCAGGCATAATGGCAGGAAGTGGTTAAACTTCAAACATAAAGCAGGGCGCAAACTAGAAACGGTCTAAGTCTTTTACCCTCAAAGCCCAGTACCAGTGACACACTTCCTCCAACAAGGCTGTACCTCCCAAACCTCCCCAAACACCTCCACAAACTGAGGACCAGTTATCACATGAGCCTATAGAGGGGCTTTCTCATTCAAATCACCATAACTGGCTATGTCGTGGATCCTAGAAAGAGAATTTAATACTATTATTCTTTTAAATGTACATAGTAATAAGCTGCCCTTTAAGTTCTTATCTTTATACCTGTAGATTAGTATATCTCTCAACCTTCATCAGAGAGAATTCTTCTTTCTCCTCCTGCTTCTTCTTTCTCCTCCTCCTCATCCTCTTTTCTTCTTCTTTCTCTTCCCTCTTCCTCTTCTTCTTCCTACTCCTCTTCCTCCTCCTGTGACCCACAACTGGCTAACATGCAGAGAGTATGAAAGAGTGGAGTGTTTAGCTTTCAAGGTGACATCTATATCATTAACCTCCCCAAGGCTCAGAAATAATCGTGGGAAAATGTAAAAGCCAGAAATAGTGAACAGCTACAGTAAATAGTGTCTGCTGTACACAAGAGAGTCCTGGTACATAGGAACTCAGAGCCTGTAGTCTGTGTGCACAAGACCCACTCCAGAACAAGCTGTCTAAAATCCATGGTGGAGACGGGAGAGGCTTCTGAAGACTTACTCCAGCAGAGAAGGTGACATGATGGTTGGTGGAGGAAGAAGAAGGGAAAGATTTTTTTTCTTTTTGGTTTTGTCGGGGATGTAACACCTCAAAGTCCTCCTCCATGCTCCTTCCTATATGCTCAGGCAGCACTCAGTGCTCTCAGAGGGGGAAAAGAGTGAGAGAGACACACAGAGAGACAGAGAGGGAGGGAGGGAGAGAAGGAGGAGAGACAGAGGGGAAAGGGAGGAAGAGAGAGAGAAGGCTAGAGGTGGAATTGGGGCATGATAAGTGGGGTTTGGATTTGTGGGTTTGACTAAAACACATAGATTTGTATGAAATTCTCAAATAATTAAAAAAAAGGGAGGGCTGAAGAAATATTTAGGATCACTTGTTCTTTCAGAGAACCTGGGTTTGTTTCTCAGTATCCCCATGGTTGTGCATAACCATTAGAAACTCTAATTCCAGGGGTATGTTATACCTTCTTCTGACCTTCCTGGTCTCCAGGCATGGACATGGTACACATACACACATACACACATAGAGGTGTACATGGTACACAAAACTCCCATACAAATATAACAAAATACATATAATAAAACAAAACCCTGGAGCTCTTCTTACACTATTTTGTCCCTGTGACAGCCATAGGTATAAATCCTCAATTTATAAATTGTTGATGTGATAGCTGTCTTCTAGAGCACCCTAATATTGACCCACTAGTATAAATATTGCTGTTCTAATAAAATAATTTTCTTTTGAAAATATACCCAATAAGAATTTGACCAGTGTGCTTTGTGTGGGTTCACTGGTGTGTTCGGAAAGACCCCTCTTAAAGATGCGTCAGCCCCTGCGGAATGTCAACAGTTGGTGTAAACCCACGCCCATACAGGTATGTATTTGGGGCTGCCAGTCTTGCACAACCTCTTTTCTCAATGCCGTGTTGCATAATATATCCACAGGGAGACAGAGGTAGCTGGCTGCCAGCAGGACTTTAGTCTGAATGGTCTTCCACTGATATACGGTGGAAGAATATTTCGTTTTTTTCAAAGATCACCATATTTTAATTATGGCTCCATTATATTTTCCTAAATGTGTAGTGAGTTTTGTCCTCTTCACCCAGGCTGTGGGTGCGCTGGACACTTTTATTGCTGCTGTATATGAGCACGCTGTTATATTGCCAAACAAAACAGAAACCCCCGTTTCCACCGAAGAGGCCTTGCTCTTGATGAACAAGAACATAGACATTTTGGAGAAAGCAATCAAGCTGGCAGCCGAGCAGGTACTTTTTTTTTTTTTTCTTCCTGTCAGGGAAGGCAGATGGATTTGCAGCTGGACCAGAACGTGGGTGTTTAGAAACAGTGAGAAACTTTTTCTTCCCATACTTGTCTTGAGCAGGGTGCACATATCATTGTGACCCCAGAAGATGGAATCTATGGTTGGATCTTTACCAGGGAGACCATTTACCCCTACCTGGAGGATATACCAGACCCTGAAGTGAACTGGATTCCCTGTGGAGACCCTAAAAGGTAACACCGTGCCAGAGAGTAATGACGCTTTCAACAGAGACTTTGTGATGAGATGGACTAGCAAAGTCACAAGCCTGACTTGTCACTTTTCTGAGTCAGTGGCGTTATACTGATGTGTCATAGTGTTTAGTGCTCAATGTGTCTTTGTCTGGTGAATGATGTTAGACAAGAATGCTCGACTTGTTACTTACCACAGTCCTCTTTTGACTAGAGAAACTGAGTGTAAACTAGTATAAACTCTTGTCCTTAGAGAGATTTTAGAAATTATTAATAACTGTGGTTTAGGCATAACTTTCTTGAAATATGCATAATTGTATAATTATATAAAAATTTAAAAGAAAATGAAATAGATTATTTTGGGTGTAATTACTTTTAGTTGCTAATTTTATATGTACATGGACCTGCTGACACTCGTATCTATTGCCTCCAATTTTCACTTATGACAACAGGTGTCACTAGGAGAAGAAAGGGAAAGTTAAGGCTATGTAATTAGTAATTAGGTTAAGTGGAATCAGAGAAAGCCAGTTGAAGGCTGGGGAGAGGGCTTAGCCCATGAAGCCCTTGCCTTGAGAGGGTGAGGGCCTGAGTTTGATCCCCAAAACCCATATGAAAAAGTGGGAACAGAAACACAAACTTGAATTCTTGACAATGGCAAGGTGGAAGGTGGAGATATTAGAGCCTTAGAGCCTGCTGGCCAGCAAGTCCCGGACCAATGAAAGACACTGTGAGAGAAAGGCAGGGAGGGAAATAGTAACTGAGGATTGACCCCCAGGGTTGTCTTCTCATCCCACAAGGTACATATGTGTACCCACGAACATATGAACACATACACATTGCATGGCGATTGCATTAAGCCATGGTAACCAAGTAGACTTGTTGCCACTATCCTACATAATAGTAAAAATTATAATAACTACCAAATATATTTTATTCACAAAGAGTAATCTGCTTTCTAGTATCTGTTGCCCAGTTTTCTGTGAAATCTTCCTCCTTCTATCTTTGGCCTCTGATCTGTTTTGTGAGCCACTGTGTGGTTGCTGGGAATTGAACTCAGGACCTTTGGAAGAGGAGCCAGTGCTCTTAACCTCTGCGCCATCTCTCCAGCCTCTGCTTTATTGAGTACATTTTTTATTCACAACACATATCCCTCATGTGAGAGGTGTTCAACTGTTTGAAGTAGTATTTCACCTCACTACATTCCTTTTCTTATTCCAAGACAAATAGGAAGGCAATTTCATGATGTGTACTTTTTTCCAAGAGAACCCAGTGAGATAGAAAGGAAGCTGAATATCACATTTGGTGTGTGTGTTTGTGTGTGTGTGTGTGTGTGTGTGTGTGTGAAAACTGACCCAGCAGGCCTGTGTACCTCTGCTTACCGCCCCACTGCACAATGCTGCATTAGCTCCCCATAGAAGAAGACCTGCAGAGGACCAACTGTTTTCTGCCACTTGGTATGTTGTTTTTGGCCACAGTTTTACCGTCACAGATTTGTAATATTCCAGCTGTGTGAGAGATGAGGCCCTTCTCACAGAAAAGTCCTCTGAGTTGCAAGCTGCTGCATAACTTTTGTTCCCCTTCAAAGGCAAGAAAGAATGTTTCCCTTCAGTCTTCTCTAGGCTTTTGTCCTGGGATGTCTGGACCATTAGAAGACACTGGAAATCATAAACACACACACACACACACACACACACACACACACACTATGTTGCACGTAAGCTTTTGTTTTCCTTTCGTGTGCATGTATATACATGCAGGAGTCATTTCTGTGTGTGCCCATGTAAGCATGCACAGTGCGTATTTGCAGGTCAGAAGGACAACCTTACAGAGGAGTGAGTGTGCGGGTACCATCGACCGCTCTCTCAGGTCGAATCTCCATGGGCTGGACCCTTGCCACATCAGGCAGGCTAGCAGACCCCAAAGGTTGTGGGGTCTGTCCCCATCTCCCTTCTGCTCACTGCTGGGTTTACAGGTGCTGAGCCCGGCATGTTCGAAGATCTGAACTCAGGGTCTCACACTTAGAAGGCAAATGCTTTACTGACCAAGTCGTCTCCCCCGTCTGCTTGTGAGTTTTAAAATCTTTTCTGCTGATCCTTGAACCAGAGCTGTTGCATTATAGGAAAGGGCACAATGTAGTGTCACTTTGGAAGTCACTGTCATGTCATCAGCCTGAGGTGACATTTGTTGAATTAGGTTTGGCCACACACCGGTACAGGAGAGACTCAGCTGCCTGGCCAAGGATAACTCTATCTATATTGTGGCAAATATTGGGGACAAGAAGCCGTGCAATGCCACCGATCCTCAATGTCCTCTGGATGGCCGTTACCAGTACAACACCAATGTGGTGTTCGATTCTGAGGGAAGGCTAACAGCCCGCTACCATAAGGTAAGCATTACCCGTGCCTTCACTCATCTCGTTTTATTCTGTTGTTTGTGATGTGTAGGTATAGTTGTTTGCTGTATTCTGGAGATGTAACTGTTACATAAACATCTCACAATTATTACCATTTCTAGTTGAAAAGGCAATTTCATTTATTTGCATAACAATTAAAGATTCTCTTTGGAATTAATCATAAAATAGAATATCGCAAAATGCTAAAACAGGTGTTGTAACAGCCTCACAAATATTGAATATCCTTTGGGAAATAAGGAGAAATGTTGTCTCATCTTTGAGTTAATATCAGAGGATTTGGGGTTACATAATCTGTGATTATTTAATACTAAGACACCATTTCAAATTGACTTTTTAACGGCTATGAAACAAAACCCAACAGAAACTGGTTAAAAAAAAAAGAGAGGGAAATATCCATGTTTGTGTAGCTGAAAAAAATACTTATCACAGAAAAGGCAGGAGCAATTGGTCCATCTCGGAGATATTATCCACCCCTCTAGGTCTTACTAGCAGCTTTTGCTCCGGATAGTTGTCCTCTTGAAAGTCACGTGACTACAGCACAGCACCAGGTTCTCATCGTTAAGATCTCAGTCCACAGAAAGATGTATTTCTGTTAGTCAGAAACCCCGAAATGGCCTCCTCATCCCTCCGTTCCAGCTAGGTCACACACTGGTCCTGAACGAGCCATTTACTGTTCTTTAGGATGCAAGGCCACAAAGGAGGTGAGTGGAGGAGCAAGGGGCCTCAGGAGCACTGGGATGTGGGGTAGCTGAGGCCAGACTGCACCAACACACACACTGGACTGAGCGGAGACCCAGCTATGTGAATGCTCTGCTCCTGCCCGGCTTACGCTATCAGGATTCAGGAAAGACCAAACTAATGCAAGACACAGTCAGCTGCCTGACAAGAATAAAGATGTTGTTGCAAATATTAGGACAAAAAGCTGTGAAACTTCAGTCATCCTCAGAGAAACGATGACCATGGCAATTCTTTTAAAGAAAAAGACTTAATTGGGCCTAGCATACAGTTCAGATGGTTGGTCCATTACTGTTATAGTGGGAAGCATGGTGGCATACAGACAGACAGGGTGCTGGAGAAAGAGCTGAGTGTTCTACATCTGCAGGCAGAAGGAAAAGACAGTGAAACACCGGGCCTGACTTGAGCATCTGAAACCTCAAAGCCCACCCCCAGTGACACACTTCCTTTAACAAAGCCACACCTACTCCAACAAGGCCACACCTCCTAATAGTTCCCTGTGGGCCTATGGGGATGGGGGCATTTTCATTCAATCCACCAATCCCCATGATGGCTGCCATCAATAAAATACCTACATCATGGAATCAGCCATCAGGCTGAAAAAATAACTAATAGCTTAGTAATTAGCAAGACTTAACTCCATAGTAGAAATAAATTTTAAGTCAACTTCATTTAATTTTTATAGATGCTACAGTAGAAATGATGAAGTTTGTTTTATGAACACATGCTAGACCTCACACAGAGAGTGCTGTTGATATTTGATGAACACAGTGGAAACAGTTTTAAAATGATAAGACTCAGGAGTTCATCCTGTCTGGGAGACAGAAGGATGGCTCAGCATTCAAGAGCACACACGGCTCTTACAGAGCAACCACAACTGCCTGTAACTCTAGCTCCAGAGTACCTGCCCCCCGCTTCTGGTCCATTGGTGGCCACACTCATGCGCTTACACACAAACACTTACATATAATTAAAAACAATGCAATTTTTTTTTCATTCTGCAGTTTTAAAGAGAGAAACATTCACATCTTAGACATCATTTGATTTCATTTATTCATCGATGGTTAAAAATAACGTGTTTTGATTAATGTCACAGTGAGGGAATTCACAGATGGTTAGTTTAATAGGCACAATGCCTGCAAATCTTCCTGTCAGCGTATGCACGTCAGGATATGTAGAAGAAAAGACTTATGGGTATTGAGCACATCTATTGACAAAATTGTTCCGTACTAATTTCCTCCTTCTCTGCTTGTCGCTGACAGTACAACCTTTTTGAACCAGAAATTCAGTTTGATTTTCCCAGAGATTCAGAGCTGGTGGCTTTTGACACTCCCTTTGGCAAGTTTGGCATCTTCACTTGCTTTGACATTTTTTCTTACGACCCGGCTGTGATGGTTGTGAAGGACTCTCAAGTCGACAGTGTTCTCCTCCCTACGGCATGGTACAATACCCTACCTCTACTTTCAGCTGTCCCCTTCCATTCAGCGTGGGCCAGAGCCATGGGAGTCAACCTGCTTGCAGCAAATACCCACAACACCAGAATGCACATGACAGGTAGCTCTGCCTTCCATCCAGTGGCAATGACAGTCTTGGGAAAAAAAAATTCCTCATTGATTTTCAAGTCAAACTTTTCTTTAACAGCTCTATGGCTAACTCTACTCTCGTAAAATTAATAGCACTAGGGGTTTCTGCTTGAGTTTTGATTTATTTGTTTACCTGTTTGTTTTCTGAGGGCAGGAAACCAGTTGTTCTGTTTTTGAGACTGGATCTTGTTATATAGCCCACGCAGACCTAGAATTTATGATCCTTCCGCCTGAGCCTCCTGAGTGCTGGGGTTACAAACTTTAAGTGCCAAGCCTGATTAGCAGCGTAGGTCTCTGCTTGAGGAGCTTTATTATGGTAAGGAAAGAAAGCAAATATTACCGCTATGCTTCATGAGGGAAGGTCGGAGTTATAAAAAAGTCAGGTCATGAAAAAAAAAAAAAAAAAAAGTGGTCAGAGAGGTGGCTGGGCCATTAAAGGCTAAGTTCACAACCAAAGATACAAAAAAACCCTCAAGACCTAAGGAAGGTCTATACTATTAGTAGTATTGAAATAAATCTGTGATGACAGAATTACTGAGCATAATAGGTTTTAGAGCCTATTCTTGGTAGTAACCTCATTAAAGGTAATACTTGCTTTCCTTTTGACTAGCTTTCACTGTGGTAAATGAATTTTAAACCCAAATAGATTAATTAAGTCACCGGAGAGTTGAAATTGTTCTTCATGTTTGGAGTAATTTTTGTTGTTGTTGTTAAATTGGCTTAAAAAGGGGAAAATTAAAAAATAATAATAATAATAAAACCAAAACCTTCAAACGATCATTTCAGCATGTCATGCAGAGAGCAGAGTCAATTTACAGTGAACTTACAGTCACATCCTTTAAAAAGCTGTTATGCTCTCTTGAGCTCTCCTTTGTCACAGTTAAGAGTCTGGGGGAACCTGTGCATGTCTTTTTGCTGCCCACAGGGAGCGGGATCTACAGCCCCGAGGCAGTCAGAGTGTATCACTACGACATGGAGACGGAGAGCGGCCAGCTGCTGCTCTCGGAGTTGAGATCTCGGCCCAGCCAGCACGCAGCGCCTGCAGCGGTTGACTGGAGCGCTCATGCCCGAAGTATCGAGCCCTTCTCCACAGAGCAGGCAGAATTCCCGGGGATGATCTATTTTGATGAATTCAGCTTCACGAAGCTTACGGGAAGCACTGGGAATTACACAGTTTGCCACAGGGACCTGTGCTGTCACCTGACTTACAAGATGTCTGAGAGTCGACCGGATGAGGCGTACGTCCTGGGAGCGTTTGACGGACTTCACACTGTGGAAGGCCAATATTACTTACAGGTATATGCTTGGCTACCTGACCGCTACGTTTTCTTCTACGCCACTGCTCTTTGTTGCTGTGGTAACAGACCAAGACTAAAAGTAACTCAGGGAGGAAAAGGTTTATTTGGCTCACTGTTGAGATCACAGTCTATCACCCGGGGAAGTTAGGGCAGGAACTCAAGGCAGGAGCTAAAACAGAGACCACGGTGGAATGCTCCTAACTGGTTTGTTCTCCATGGGCTTCCTTGGCCTGTTTTCTTATACAACTCAGGGCTGGGTCTTCCCACATAAATAATCATTAAGGAAGAAAAGGCTTCCACAGACCTGCCTAAGGACAATCTGATGGAGGCATTTCCCCAGTTGAGGTTCTTTTTTTCTAGATGATCCTAGCTCTGTCAAGTTGACAAAATATAAAATAATCAGAACAAGCATCATAGCTTTTCCTTAAACATTGAATTAAATTTAATTAATTGGTATAACGTTGCTTTTATCATGGATTTATCTGCAGCCCTGGAATATGTAATTTATTCACCATTTTAGCCAGAACAATTTTTTTTTTCTTGGCTACAGGGTGAAAAACGTAAAGCAGATTGAAGAGTTCTTTGCAGGCAAGTTCAAGTTTAAAAAGACGCAACTTCTATGAATCCTTTCCCTACTTTAGAGAACTGTTTTGCAACTCTTCATCTAGAGGTTAAATTAATTTGTGACCCAGTGTAGCGTATGAATGTGTGACTGAGATAAAAAAATAGAAATTTAACAAAAGCAAATACTTTATAAAACAATCCAAATTAGAATTACCAAGAACACTGACGTTTAAAATTCTATCTCATTTTGCCTTTATGAAAAGCATAATAACTGCCGGGCAGTGGTGGCACAAGCCTTTAATTCCAGCACTCAGGAGGTAGAGGCAGATGGATCTCTGAGTTCAAGGCTAGCCTGGGCTACAGAGTGAGTTCCAGGGCAGCCTAGGCTACACAGAGAAAACTGCCTCGGGAAACAAAACAACAAACAACCAAACAAAAAAGAAAAGAAAAATTGTAAAGATCTTGTTCTACTAAATTTGACTTAAGATTTAGCAAGTTGCGATTGCTCAGATGGAAACTATTCTTTGACATGGAGTTATGACTACTTTTTTCCTTTCCCTCTCTTACACAGATATGTACATTGCTGAAGTGCCAAACCACCAACCTGAGAACTTGTGGGGAGCCCGTGGGGTCAGCTTTTACCAAGTTTGAAGAATTCTCCCTCAGCGGCACCTTTGGGACAAGCTATGTTTTCCCACAGATTGTCCTAAGCGGGAGTCAGCTTGCCCTGGAAAGATATTATGAAGTAAGAAGCTTTCACGAAGATAAATTTCTTTTGGATAGATGAAGTAAACCAGAATAATAAAGATCATTAAATTAAAGGGCCGGGAGGTGGTGGCTCAGGCCTTTATTCCAGCATTTGGAAGGCAGAGACAGGAGGAGCTCTATGAGTTAAAGGCCAGCCTGGTCTACAGCGTGAGTTCCAGACTGAATTTATCCTATAATAGACAAGTTGGGGTGCATTGTTCTACAAAATGTGAAGTCTTGGGGGACTTAAAATTAGACTATGGATTGTTGATAACCTTTTGTATAATATAGAAGGTTCAAGCTAAGCACAGTTTGTTAAATACTGCAGCTGCTTATTAAATCCTGGGCCTGGTGGAGCAGCCTGTAATCTAAACTAACTAGGTAGGATGGTTAAAAGTTCAAGGCCTGCTTAGGGTACGAAGTGAGTCTGAAGCCAGTCGGAAGTGCTAGTTTGTGAGAATTAGTCTCAAAATAAAAATTCAAAAGTTTAATCCCAGCACTCTGAAGTAAGAGGCAGGTGAATCTTTGTAGGCTTGAGGCCTGGTCAACATAGCTAGCTCTAGGACAGTCAGGACTACATAGAAAGACCCAGTCTTAAAAAACCAAATAAAAAAATAACACACACACACACACACACTGGTTGAAGGGATGGCTCAGCAGTTAAGAGCACTTTCTAGTCTTGCAAAGTACCTAGGCTTGGCTCACAGCATGAACATACAAAAGCAATTACAACTGTGCCTGTAACTCCTGTTCTAGGAACTCTGACGCCCTCTTCAGGCTTCCTCAGATACGGCAAGCACACTGTGCAGCTACACATATGCAGACACACAGTCATTTACATGAAATAAGATTAAGCTGGGAAGATGGCTTAATGGCTTAGAGCACTTGCTGAGCTTGATTCTTAATACCCACACAGTAGCTCATGCAATCTGTAACTCCAATTCTAGGGGCTCTGTGTACAGCACCCCTTCTGACCTCCACAGGCAGCAAGCATGCACAGGGTAAACAGACCTATGTGCTAGTCAAATATTCACACATGTAAGATCAGTAAGTAAATCTAAAGAGTAAATACACATTTTTAAAGAGTTACAAGTATAGATCATGAGCAGAAACTGTGTGCAGCATGCACAAGCCCCTGGGTTCAGTGCTCAGTATGCTGGGTATGGAGCTTATTTCATGGAAGAAACCCTGCATACGGAGCTTATTCTATGGGAGTGTTGAGAAGTCGTCATAATGCTACCAATAGTTGTGTAGTGGTCCACGAGTTAAAGAACATATTGTACATTATTTAACTACCCTTAAAAGAGATTATTTGCCACATTTCACCCCCATCCCTCTATATGAGACCAAAGTCATTAAGCTGAGTCTTCTGCCATGAAATCATGTGTGCTTTCTGCCACCCAATGCTGCTCCAGGAGGGATGTTTCTAGAAGGAGATGGTGCTTGGAAGCTGGGCTCTGCGTTGGAGTTAACCCTTTGCTGTCTTTCATCAGGTCTCAAGGGATGGACGTCTCCTGAGCCAAGGTGGAGCCCCTTTGCCTGTCTTAGTGATGGCCCTGTATGGAAGAGTGTTTGAGAAGGACCCCCCACGCTTAGGGCAGGGACCTGGGAGGTCACCATGAACACCTTCATTGGGGAGTGTCAGGATTAGCCTGGCACCGTGAGTGGGCATGAATGAGAGAGGAGGGAATAAGAATCTGCAGTGTCTGATTAGAAGACACAATGTAAGCTGTTAAAAGGACAAATTAAACCAAGAAATAAAACAATGAAGTAAAAAAAAAGCAATCGGTGTGCTCTGGCCTAGATGTGATTTGTTTCCTCCAAAATGCATGATCAAATTTAATTTCCATTGTGAGTACTAAGAGAGTGGGGCATGTAAGAGAGTCCCAGACAACTGACGCCATGATGCAAGTGCCATTCAGGCTGGAAAACAGCACACAGCACCCCCTGCCAACACTAAAACAAAGGCCTAATCCATCAAAGTCCATATAGTCCCGGGAAAGTCTCTGAATGCACTAACCTTGTTTAGCCTCTATAGTTATGCTTCTGGCTAAGTGTTTTTATTTAGCTATTCTTGTATGTCAGCTCAGAATGTGTGTGTGTGTGTGTGTGTGTGTGTGTGTGAGTGTGTGTGTGTGTGTGTGGGCTTAGCATACAGCAGGACTGTTTCCCACCATAGGAAGTTTTATGCCGCTGTTAATAAAAGAGAATTAACAGATATGTATTACAGAGTTTGTGACACCCTGGGAAAGGATTGTAGACTCAATCCAGTTATAATTAAGATATTTATTGATCAGCTGCTAGCAGGACGAACAGTCTCTGAACCAAATTTGAGATTGCGGGAAGGAGAGGGAGGGGGAAGAACTTTTAAAGGGAAAGCCACACAAGAACGTCAAAATCTATGCAAGCAAGGAAAAATTGTTCTGTCCTGCCAAGTTAAGTGGTTAAGGCAACTCAAAACAATCTTGGGTACCTGGCGTAAGCAAGTTGCAGAAACGAAACAAAAAGCAGTTAGCCATAGCGAGTAGATGGTCACAGCTGTACATTTTTGAGTGGAGGTCACTGAGTCAGGGTTTCTGGGAACCCACAAAGGTCTTGTGGGTACCAAGATGGATGCATAGTATAAAATGGAGCTTCTTTAGCCATAGTAGTGGGCCCATGATTTTGAACTAGAACCATGAGTCAATCTATTTCTTTATAATGTACACAATATACAATATTGTGTTGTTAATAAATGAAAGCAGGTTGCCATATGGTATGTGCATGTTTGGGATAGCATAATTTCTTTCTTTCTTTTCTTTCTTTCTTTCTTTCTTTCTTTCTTTCTTTCTTTCTTTCCTTCTTTCTTGTGTTAGAAACAGTCCTTTATTTAACTCTGTTCTACCAAGTTAGGGTTTTCCACCAACTCGGGGAGCAGAGACCTTCACAGGCTTCACAATCTTTTGTTTAGGTGCTGCCTTTGTGGGGGCCTTGGCAGTAGCCATTTGCTGTCTTCTTTGATGCCTGCTTAGTTTTTTGCTTCCTTGGCAGGCAGCCCTGACAGCCTGCTCTCTGAGCTTTCCTAATTTCTGGTTTCTGATTCTTCTTGGCCATTCTGTCAGCAAGAGATGCACCAGTGATGGCCCGCTGGAATTTGAGTTCTTTTCTTTTGAAGCTCTTCCAACTGTCTCTTGTGCTTTCTTCTGTAGAGGACAGTCCAGTTTATCTACCGAGGATTCGTTTTGGAAAGGAATGTGGACTCCCGTTTCGCATTAAGAAACTGGAAAACCTTCACGTCGGTCCTGTCCTGGTGCCACCACATGTCTGGCATAGATCTTGAAGCCACTGAAACTGCACAACTCAACCTTCATGTTGATAGCTGCCAGCCTGCCAGAGGAAAGATGGCGAAGAGAAAGAAAGGATCATGGGAAAACATAAATTTCTTCACATAAATTTCTTAAATAGAGCTGCACCCATCTTTTAATGTATCTCTTCAGGTATATGTAAATATGGAATGTGTATTTATGTAAGAGGAGGGCTTCTTTCGCAGGTGTTGTATACAAATCATGATTCCATCAGGTGAAGTCTAATTTCATGTGTTCACTTGATTACACGTGGACGCTCAGTTGGCTGATTAAATATTTCTGAGTGTGTGACGGGGACCTTTCTGAAAGAGAGTAGCATTAAAATTGGTGGGCTCATCCTGGATGAGGAAAGGCCTACACAGGCAGACACATTGATCAGGAGGGCCACTCATGGGCCAAAGGCTGCAAGCTTCACGAAGCTGCAAAATGTCTAAGAGGAAAGGCCACGTTTGGTGGCCGAGAATAGATCTCATCGGCTGAGAATAAGCCTGGAGTTTGATGGCTCTGCACCTGAGGCTGGCAGATGGATCAAATTCTGCAGCTGTGTGCCAGTTACTTACTCTTTCAGAGCCCAGGAGTGCTGAAGTTCCAAGTGTGTGCAGTACACTCACAGCTCTGTCTTTCCGCCTTGTTGTCTAGTGCTCAGGAAGACTTGAAAGTATGAAGGCAGATCTCTGCCTGTAACAGCTGCTTCCAGCACCTTTGGGAGACACCCCTCACTGAAACAGCCATTCTGGGCAGATGAGTTAGCTTCTGCTCCATAGCATGCAAAAACAATCGTGGCCAGCAGAGGGCCCTGGTACCACAGAAGAATAAAGCATTCTAGCTGCCGTTAGAGCAGTGGTTCTCAACCTGTGGGTCCTGACCCCTTTGCTGGAGCAGCATATGAGACATTTACATTAAGATTCGTAACCGTAGCAAAATTACATTTATGAAGTAGCAATGAGAATAATTTTATGATTGGGGAGGGTCACCACAACATGAACTCTATTAAAGGGTCGTGGCCTTAAAAATGTTGAGAACCACTGCATAACACATTTGCTCAATACAGTCCTTGCTATGGCACAAACCGAAGGAAAAATAAGAGTCCACATGTTCAGCGGAGGCTGCCCTGCCTCTGGGCTGGTGATGGGCCCCCTCCAGCTTTCAAGGAGCGAGAAGGAAGGTGCTTCAGTGCTCTGTCTTTTCTTCTCAGTGTATTTCTTTTCTGTTCTCCACGTGGTTGCTAGGGTTTTAATGTATTGCAGTTTTTAAAATGTTTTATGTTTCTGTTATTTTCCTTTGTACTAGTTTTATTTATGTATTTTTCCATTATTGGGCAGTATTTTTCTTTGCCTTATTTTAGCTTTTTTTTGGTTTGTTTCCTTCTGTCTCCTAGCTCTACATTTAATAGCATCTTTGTTTTATTTTTATTGGTTTCTTAAAAATGATTCTCGTAGCCTGGCATGGTGATGTATGCCTTTGAGCCCACACTAGGGAGGCAGAGGCAGGTGGATCTCTGTGAATGTGAGATTAGCCTGGTCTGTTTAGCAAGTTCTAGTCAGGACTGGGCTACATAGTGAGACATGGTCTCAACAAACAAGGAAGGCACTGTGATAGCTATTTTTGGCTGTTCAGCTGACTGCGTCTGGAATCATCTGAAACCCAAATGTCTGCGCACACCTGTGAAGGATTTTCATTTTTTCTCAACTCTTTGAAATGGGAAGAACCACTTTTAATCTGAACCATACCTTCTGCGGCAGCCTATGTAAAGAACATGAAGAAGGAAGCTTGCTCTCTTTGCCTGCTTGCTTTCCCTTTAATTATCAAGTCCATTCCTTCACTGGCATTAGAGCCTACTTCTTCAGGATTCCAGTGTCCTGCTGAAGACCAGCTGAAACATCCAGCCTCACGGACTGAACAACTCCTGGATTCTTGAAACTGTTGTTGATAGACAGCTATTGTTGAACTAGCCAGAACACAACTTTTAAACAATTTTTTAAAAAATTTATTTGTGTGGGTATGTGTACATGAGTCAGGCAGGTCAAGGGAGGATCCCTTGGAATTACAGTCAGTTGTGAGCTACTGGAGTGGGTGTTGGGAAATGAACTTAGGTCCTTTGGAGGATCATCAAGTGCCCTTAACCACTGGGCCTTCTCTCTCTTCCTCAGAATACAACTTTTAAAAATTTGTTTTAAAGGTTTATTGTTCACCCTCTGTGTATTGGTAAAGTTCCTGTAGTTTTGCTAATACTTTCTGGTTCTATTGCACCGTGATCTGATAAGATGTGCTTGAATGTTTTTCCTGCTTGTGTTTATGTGTGCCCTGTTTATGCCCTCTGCCTTTGAAGACCAGAGGAGGGCATCTGAGCCCTTGGAACTGGAGTTAAAGAGAGTTGTAATGTACCGTGTAGGTGCTGGAAACTGAACTTGGATCTTCTGCAAGAGCAGCGAGTCCTCTTAACTGCTGAGCCATCTCTCCAGCCCATGACCAACAAACAGATGAATAGCCAGTGAGTCACAGAACATATCAGGCAGGAAATTTAAAAATTCTGCAACTCAAGTAGAAATTAAATGACTGCACAACCTACCAGAACTGTTGGCATACAGTTAAACCACAAAAGGAGAAGTTATAGCTGTGAATGCTTACATCAAAACAATTACAAAATCTCACACAAATGCACTCCAAGGGTCAGATGAACAAGATCAATCTAAACCTTAAAACAGAATATGGCAAGAGATGATAAAGATCAGCACAAAGATTAATTAAATAAAGACTTAATGAGCAGTACATGAAATTGATCGAAGACTGTGTTCTTTGTGAGAACAAAATTAACCAACTCTTGGCCAAAATAATCAAAAGAAACTGAGAACAGATCCAAATTAATACAATTAGAAGCTGGGTGTGGTGGCAAACACTTTTATTCCCAGAACTCCGGGAGGTAGAGACAGATGGACCTCTTTGAGTTTGAGACCAGCGGTCTACAAAGCAAGTCTGGGACAGTCGAGCCTATGTAAGGAAACCATGTCTTAAAAAACAAACAAACAAAAGAAGTATTGAACATCTTTATCCCCAAGGGAAGTACAAATTAAAACTGTTTTGAAGGCTAGGAATGGTGTGGTACATGCTTCTAATTTTGCTGGGAAGACAAAGGTAGCAGGGTGGCTGGGCCAGCCAGTCTAGATAAGACTCAGCTATACTACCTTTGGGTATATGCCTAAGCATACCACAGAGATTCGTCCTTATAGCTGTTGTATTTATGATGTCCAGGAAATGGAACCCATTCAGGTGTCATCAACAAGTGAATAAAGAAATGTGGTCCGTCTATACAATGGAGTCTTATGCAGCCATAAAGAAAAATGAAATCATGACATTTGCAGGGAAATAGGTGGTTCTGGAAATCATAACTTAAGCAAAATTAGGCAATCACATTTTCTTTCATATGCGAGTCTTAAATTAAAA